CTATACAACGAAAGGAGACTGCGACCACACAAAAGGCCACACCATCTTGGTCTTCATATCTTCGATTAACATTTTACATTTAATAATACTGTTTATTCTGTTTAGATTCAAATTTTCCTAGATTGAATTACTCACAGGCAAGTAACTGTAAAATAAGACAGGTTTAAGTAAGTAAATCGGTCGCAAAATGGGGTTCAGAGCTGTGGATACAGGACTAGGAGATGGGACGGGGGGAAGGAGAAATACAACTACAGTTAAACCGAAATTTGATCAAGAGAACTTCTTTTGTCACTAACGGGTTATGACACAGTGCTAATAATGACGTCCCTCACTGACGATGTCGGCTAGATCACTAAAAATGTACCATGTCAACGGTCTTAGACTGAAACTTATTATCACTGCTATGACAGATTATGCAGAACTGCGTACGTTACATAAGATCTCTCTGTCATCCCGACCAACTTGTTAAAACGAGGTCAAACCAGCAGTTTAGGGTTAAAGGAGACTGTGAAAACCCAAGGTCTTGTCCTTCATATCTTCGATTTAATATTTGCTCATATAGTCTTTGTTGACATGATAAAGCCGTATTTTAATTACTACTCTAATGACCTGTCTTCTCAGTCTGGCTTCCTAGTATGGTTAAATTTGTTTATTCCTTGCTCGTATCATGTATCTCCATTTATAGCCAATCGCATATTATTCTTTTTTATTTTTTTTCAGGGCGATCATAGTTCAAAAGTTCGTACCGTCATTCGTTGTTTGATCTCCCTGAAGCGAGCTGATCCGGATGCCAAGGCGATAATTTTTAGTTCTGTATGCCTCTATTTCTATTATCTATTAGCTATGATTATTTTAGCTTTTTATGGTACTTACTGTATTTTTAAATATGACTTTTATTTATGGGGAATTTTTACACCAGGAATCCCCGTTCCTTTTGCACCAACTTGTAAGGCTATTAGTATTCCTGTATTAGCGATTGCCGTAAGTAGTTCATTTAAACCAGATGACCTAATTTCAGTGAATCTATCATAGTTTTACCGCTTCCATTCTATTAACATTCATCATAACTATTTTTTATTGATATATATGCGCATTATCCTGGTTGGTCATTTACAACTAAGACCAGTCTTATTTTATGCATTAAACCTTTCTCTATTTCTAAACGTAATTTGCCACTAGTTATGTTTGAAGCAGTTATATCTCGAAGACGTTTTATGCATGGTCATGTCCCGAACTTGGGTTATGCGTCTTAAAACTATATATATTCCATTTACAGTTTAATAATAGTTACCGACCCTAGTTTCGTTTTTTTGCAAATCTTATATAACGAATTGAAATCAATAACAAATCTCTTTTTCTCAATTCATCTTCTTATTCTCTGGCGATTAAAGTGGATTTCAGTACTGGTCACTTTGGCGGGCGCTTTCGAGGGAAATAGCATCGCGTATACCACCCTATTGCACGCTCGTGATGCCTGTCAACCGCACCGTTTACATGCCTGGCAGACACAAGGATCAGCTGTATGGTGCCTTTTATTGCCTGTGCAAATGGGAGCCAATGGTCTGAATCTGACGGCAGCCAACCATCTCCTTCTTGTGGACCCTGTACTTAGCCTTGGTCGCGAAGCGCAGGCTATTGCTCGGATGCACCGAATCGGACAGACGCGGTAACTATTAATTTATTCTTGATTTACATGAAATTTGTTTCCCTTAGCTCCCGTGCTATATCCTTTTATCCTAATCACCCCTTTATTTTGTTTTGTGATGAGACTCATTTTAATAAAAGTTCACTTGGAAATTGGACAAAACTAGTCTTTTCTTGCTAACCTTTCTGAAAAAAATACAAATTCTTTATTTTCATATCACCCAACTAGATTTGTCTTTTATTAGCTGACTAGTTAAATCTAAAGTACGCTATTTTCTACGGAATCATGCTAGCAAGCATATTTAAAGTGTGAAAATGTTGATTTTACACTTAAATGTATTAAAGCAAATATTCTCTTCTTTGCTTAGCCGATTTTTATCATTTCCCAGAAATAACTAAACTGCTAGAGATTAGCAGAGCGAATGGCTTAGCCTGATAGCTTACGTGTCATTGCTTTGATTACCTTT